CTAAGCTAATATTCATTATCAGTTAAAGCTCACGAATTATAAAACATAATTAATTAGAATTAGCACAGAATTTACTTCAAAAAATTTCTTACAGTTATGCACTGCAATTTTCTAATGTTCATCTTGTGGAATAGGAGGTATTAAAGATTTTAAAGCCTTGTTTACCTCCTCAATAATTGCATCCAGACCTTGATGTTGCTCACTATGACCTGCTTTTCTCTACAATATCACGAATTTCAGGATGAAGTTTTATTAATTGGACTTCATCTGCAGCTTCTATGAGGTGATAAATAGGTGACACCTTGCAGACCAAACAGGAGAAAACATCCTTCTAGCTGCTCTTTTTAAAATTGGATTGTTCGTTCTTATGGCTTTTCGATAATTGATTATTGTTTGGAGGTACAAGAATGTCTATAAAAAAAAAAAAAAATTAATTATTATAAAATATAAAGTTCTCGGCATGAATAACTGACTTGTTCAAATTTTATCAAGTAAAGTGAATCTTGCTGCTCTTTAACTCACACAAGATATTCTTCGACTGATAAAATAGGATGGCTTTTTATATACGGCCATAAAAGCTTCATAGCCATTGCTCGACAATATATAATATAAATAGAGTCCCAAGATTTATAATAATCGGTGCATTTCTTGAAATAAGAAAGCTAATTTTTGGTCCAATAGCCCTGACATATCGCATATCATTTTAGATCGATTTCTCTAATATGTATTAAAAAAAAATAATAATTAAATAAAATTATAAAAATAAAAATAAAACAAATAATTAAATAATTACTAGTTCAGTTCTATAAATGCATGAAGCATATTTATTTCTTTGTGAAGTTGCCCTGGTACAAGAATTAACCAAGGAAATTTTTCTTTTAACTTGATAACAAAACGGTATGAACATCATCACAAGTTACTACCACCTATTTACGAGTTTCATTCCTGATACCAGATATTTTCTCTATATATAATAAAATTTGTTTAACACTTGCAATCAAGTTAGGATTAACGTTAATCAGGTCGGGAATATAAATTTCAGAGGTATCATATTCTTGATCTATAACTTGCTAAGTAAAATTAATTTTAGAAACAGACGCAATGCTTTGTTCTTCATCTTGTAAGGTTTAAAAATTAAAAGATTAATTAGTTGATTTGTTAATTTATTTATATTTACTTAGCTTGGATAGCCTATATGAATATTTAAACTTTTTTTACCTGAAGATTATTCAGATATATCTACTTGAGTATTACTCAGATATATTTATCTAGGTAGCTAAGTTTACAACCTGAATATCTGATTATTTGCAGATAATTTAGGTAATTTTAACTCAGGTATCATCACTATCACAGGTTCAAGTTTTAAATTTCAATAATATTTCTTTGAGATATCAGTGAGATATCAGATGTTAATTTATCTGAAAGCTTACTGATATTTGGTGTGTATCTTCACCTATCAGCAGAATATCAGCTTTTGATAGGCTTATCAGATATATAATACTTTATTTAACAATATTATATATCTGATAGGCCTATCAGAAGCTGATATTCTGCTGATAGGTGAAGATATACACCAAATATCAGCAAGCTTTCAGATAAATTAGCATCTGATATTTTACTAATATCTCACAGAAATGTTACTGAAATTTAAAACTTGGATCTGTGTATATTGATAGAGTTTGATCTTTAATTACAAGCAAAAGACTAATTTTATCCTTCATATCAACAGACATTATAATAATTTTTTCTACCACAAACCCTAATTTAAGAGCATTTTTTAAAAATTCTTCAACTATCTGATGAAAAGAAATATATAATGGTATAACCAACTCACAGATTTGAAAAACTTTATAAAAATCATCTCCAAACAAGTCTAATGCAGAAATAATTATATAATCTCGTATTACTTGAATATCAAAGACAGAAACTTTCCCTAACTTGATATATATCAATCTGGCTATATTGGTAGTATCATTCCTTTCATCAAAAAAAATATTATATTGTTCATCAAAACAATATTTGCAAATATGTACCAATGTCTTCCAGTTAATAATCTTCTTATCTTGTTAAGGTAGTAATTGTAAAACCTTATAAAGTACTATTTTATTTTCTATTGTGTCAAGCTTTAACAAAACTTGTAGATTATTATAGTGCAGTAGTTAGCACTTCCAGGTCACAGTCGCAAAGTTGCAG